CTTATCGTTTTGTACTTCTTCCATGGGATTTTTGCTATCTGGTCTGCCTCTGATCCAATTAACTTGCTCCATCTTCCCTTGATTGTTGGGTCTGGGTCCTTTGTTTTTAACAGCATCTTATAAGTTATAACCCAGGTTAACAGTATATTGGAATTGGTGGTTTGGCCGTTCTATTTCTTTCTGGGCGCCATGCCCATTCTGATGGGTCGAACTCAAGGTCTTGGATTGCCGTGTTTATTTGGAAGATCAGTTTAGGCCAGAGACCTAGCGTCCTTATTTTCTGCAACGTGAACGCATTCATTACTGCTTTTTCAGGATTGATGTTATGAATGCATTGTTCATCTGGCTTAGTGTTCAAAACTGGGAAGGAAGTGAATACATCCCTTGGACCAGGTGTGGACTGTCGGTGGGAGAATTGATATGCTCGGACTGGGGAGGGTTCTTGGACCAGGACTCCCCACTCGCCTGGCTTCCATGTGAACTCTTCTTTTAGAATATCTATCCAGGCTACACGGGATGCTCTGTATTATCTTTTGGAGGTTTTCGTCCCTGTGATGGCAGCCTTTCAAGCGGGTCTTGAGGTCCACTCATCCAGCCAGCTTTTCTTATCCTCATTCCATATGTCACCTATTCGTCAAACACCCTGTTCGACCCAGGATACCCATCTGTTGCCTCTGATTGACAAAGTCCATGGGTGGTCCCCCTCATCTCTAATCCACGGATTACCAAAGAGAGGCTGCCTGAGCTTTTCTTCTTTGGACCTTGGTTTGCCTAGCTTTTCTGGCATGATCTCTCTCCAGATCCGTAGCAGAGCAGCCCAGTACGGGTGAGAGGACTGGGTGGGGGTTAGTCTCCTTTGGCTTCTTTGACCCTTGAGGAATACAGTCTTTGTTCATCACCAAGAACAGTCCGGACATATTTGGAGGGCGCTCAATCGGGGCCAGACTTCTAATACTGTCTTGTGCAAGCTTGTTCCAGGGCAAAGACTGTTTAGACAGCAACTTGACTACCCACTTTATTTGGAGNTCAATCGGGGCCAGACTTCTAATACTGTCTTGTGCAAGCTTGTTCCAGGGCAAAGACTGTTTAGACAGCAACTTGACTACCCACTTTATTTGGAGGGCTTTCATCTCTGTTCGAGTGGGTAGTCATTTGGAGGGCTTTTATCTCTGTTCGAGTGGGTAGTCATTTGGAGGGCTTTCATCTCTGATCGAGGCAATGTACCACATCATTGAGAATATGGAAGTGTTGATGGATAGTGCTCTGCCCATTATTGAGGTGAACGCTTGACTCCATTTCCCCATTTTATTAATTTGGCTGGTTAAAAGGTTATGTGCCATCTGGGGTGCTGGGTCTTCTCTCGTTACTTGGATTCCTAGATATCTTGTTGGCAGCTCTGGCCTCTCCCATGACATCTGGCTCTCCGGGCTCTGGAGATGTGGCACCGGTTCATCTGAAAGCCACCAACCTATCGTCTTGCCCAAATTTATCTTCTGAAGGCTTCCATTGCCCTGACCAGGGCAGCCATTGATGAGTTGGAGACTTTGATTAAGACCGTCAAATCATCCGCGAACATGATTACTGTAGGAAAATGTATGTTGTGCGCAGACGCCACATTCATTTCCGGCAGCCTTTGGATAGAAGGGTCCTTACGGAGAAAGGAGGCTATGGCTTCCATTACAAAGAGGAAGATAGGCAGAGCTAATTGGTCGCCTTGTCTTACTGATCTGGAGATTGGATAGCCTTTGGAGAGTAGTCCATTAATCTAAACACAGTCGGAGGCATTGTTATACAAAACACGTACCCATTTCCTGAAGTTGGGAC